TGACAATCTTTACTGCATGAAGAAATAAATTTTCAAATGAGTAATTCTTGGGGTTTTTTCATCTCACAGTCAATGTTTGCTCATGTTTTCTGAAGAATACGCGTACTGTCTGGAGTCTATTCTGCGAGATTTTTTGGAGAACTTTTTTACACTTTTCAATAGTCCACAAAATCACTTATTCTCCAGAAACTTATTATGTAATCTCGCTCACACAAACTTTTTATTCTTCACGTGTGTTTCTTAATGAATCTGATCTTACCCGAACAGGATCTGAAGTGCTCTCTTAAAGTCTTCAAGTGCATATAAGGTGCTAAGCTGCACTTCACACACACCACTTATGAGTTTTATACGTCGATTCGAGTCGTTTCTCGAATTTTTTGATATTTTGAGTGTTGCTACGAGAAGAATAAATTGCTTGAATAATGCAAATGGAAGAATAGATTGCGTGAATATTATTGTCATGTTTGTCTCTGAAGAATATAATGCGGAAAGGCAAGCTGTAACCATCTTAAAACGTAGAAGACTTGTTTTCAAACTAGTTCTCTTAACAATCATGTGTTAAACTGCCTTTCTTCCAAGAGCAGACTCCTCTACTCAGTCATGTCAAATAGAATGTTTGCATTTGCTGGGATTCTCACATTTCGCCCAAGGTTCCTTCCTTCTCCTTCTCTCACCTCTTCGAAATTCTAAATAATTCAAGTACTTCCTTCACCGAAACTTCCTCTTCTTCCCACGCGGCTCATTCGCTTACTGCATCATTACTTTTGCACGAGTAAAGCTGTTTTTTCAAGGGTCTTCGGATAATTGCTTGGTGCCAGCGAAAAGTGCAATGGGTATTAGCAGGTTGGAAAGAAAGACGAAAGTGAAACGGGTTCTTATATGAGTAGGTTACAGCAAGTACGTTTTGGCTGTTTGGAATGCTTTCTTCTTAAGATTCCAAGCATGTTGTGAGACTGGAAGAATTCGGCGAAAAAAAAGGGAGGGGGGAGAGATGAGGAGCAATCTTGTTTCTTTTATCTCCATCTTTTTTGCATCTTTTCCTTTTTCCCTGAGAAATTTCTCCGGTCATTAAATTTTTCTCGAATTTGCATTTCGTGGATGCTGTTTTCGATAGAAAAGTTATTTTTTCCTCTTGTTATAGTATCAGCGATCTTACTGTTTGGCATGTACAGTATACCTACAGTATGTCAGCAAGCTTTCGTATGCCTTTTCATCTGGAGTTGATGTACTGTGCACGGAGATTACCTTATCAGTACTAGAATATCCATCTGTTACTGTCCAACCTGCACAGTATACCTACAGTATACCATCATCTTCAAACACCTTTTCACTTATGCGGTTGACATTTACTTCTCGCAAAAGTTAGCTTATCAAATTATTCTCACAGCATTATTTCACCTGAGAGCAGAGATTCGTTTGACTGCATTGATAACCGTCATTTTTCCACGCAGGAACCAATTAATTACTTCAGCTGTCATTCTTTGACCTTTTACTTGTTCACGAAAGACTGAATGCGATGACGCAACGCTATCGGGGACAAGGTATTGTTGTGTAGCGCCGCTGTAATAAATTCCTTTCTTCATTTACTTTGATCGATGTGAACTGCAGATTTGCAGACTTTTAAGTTTACATCTTATGTCATGACATCTGTGCAGAAGTCGGAGGCAGTGTTCAGGCAAATCTGGATATCTCCTTCTTCTATGAAAAAAAATATTGGGGAGGTCTTAGCCAAGCTATTGTTCAAGAGCGAGCTCGTATGACTTAATCGCGACCGAGAAATTCGACTCTGAACTCTCGCCCAGTACCGTATCACTTGCTTCGAGTACGGCATTGGGCGGGAGTTTAGAGTTGATTAGCTTTGCCACGAATGGATTTTGTGAGCTGCCGCTTGGGCAATAGTATAGTTAGGACCTCCCAATTAGTTTCCACTTATACAGTATGGGTATCTAGACTTGTCTTCCAGTTTAAGAACGTATAATCTGCTTCTATCTTTTTCTAATCCAAAGTGATTTGCAAGATGAGTCAGAGATCTATGAGTCTTGCGTTTTTACTGCCTCATGTGACGTAATTTGCATTCAATCGGCTTATAGGTTAGATAAAAAGCGGGGGAGTTTAGATGAGTCATAGGTAAGCATCATTCTTTTATATGAAGGCGAGGCAGCGCATTTCTCGAACTTTCTCATCATATGTTTGAGAGGAAGAACCTGACTCATTGTAGTGTAATGCTATGGCTTCATGGTCGCCGAATCACTCTTTTCCAAGTAACAAAATTCGTTTGGTTATTTATTTATTGAGCTAAAATTGCTTATTGTTGAAGTCTGTAAACTTCCGCCTAATTCTGTGAATTTTCGTCTTAAAGTCCGAGAAAATGATTTAGAAATTGAGCAAACTTTTTTCGCCTCAAATCGCTTGTAAATTTGCTCCGAATTTTTTTTTGCATTCATGCATAAACGTCTGTTTTCACATATTATTCATTTCTCCTCCCACAAATTTCTTCACATCTTTGAATCTTTTGGTTTTTATGCCATGCCATTTACATCTTATTTTATTCTTTTTTGCTGAAATAAATTTGTCATTTATGATCAATAATTGAGCTTTGCTCCTTCTTTCCTCCGTCAAAACTTCGAATTGTGAGTTTATTCTTCTGCAAAGAGTATCATCTATGCCTTATCTATTCGCTTGATTTTTCTCTTTTCTCATCTGTTCAGTCCTTGAAATGAACTCTTCGTTTTATACCCCATCACTTCTGCTATTTAGTCATCTGATAGGCGGACAACTGATACCATTAACCATGCCATGCACCCTCGCTCTTGTCTGACTCATTCAGCGCTGACAGAACTCATATAAAACGTTCTATAAAGTCTTGTCACTTGTCCGATAACCGGTCTTTCTGCTGCCTTTCACCGTCTCGTTTTTTTTTCCTTTCGATTATCTTTTGTTGTGTGTGAGTGTTTCTCATGGCACAGTGCATGCTATGGCATATTTGGTAGAATGAAGTGCTTTTTGTGGATTATTTTCAATAGGGCACGTTTAGCTTATGTTATCAGCAGACATCATATTCTGGTTATTTTGTAATTTTTTCTGTTCATTTTTTACCTAATAGCGATAATTTCTTTATCTCGAATATAATGTGTCAGTGTGATTTTGATTCTACTTATATGCTCTCTCTTACCGCTACGTTTTTATATGAATTTATTTACTCAGACTACTGATCGGAACTTCCGCAGTGGTTTCGCAGCATTTCCGCCGGGTCATCTGCGGAAACCCTGCAATTTGCAGCTGACATTCTTCCATTTTATTGAGAATGTGCTGCGGAACCGCTACAAATTCTGCTTGTCCTGCGGAAGTTCCAATGAATTGTCTGAGTACTTTGATAAATCACAAATCGTTTTTAAAATCATGTATAGTTAAAGTTTTCATTAATCAATAATTGATTGTCCCATCATCACTGCAAACTTCAAAGCGAATCATTTCTAAACTGATTCAGACCACTCCTTCTGATTGACATTAAAGCTTTTATCATTACACCCTCGCTAAGCCCATTCCTATCATGCAAAACGCATTCTTGCAATGATTTATCAATTCACTCTTTTATCAATCGATAATCGATTGGTCTATCAACTGTCAGATCTTGGTCATGTGGTATATTCGAACTTGATGTGTATGCTGCCCTCTCTGCACTTAGCAGATGTTTGCTCTGGACTGATATGAATCTCTTCGCACTTTGAAAAGTTTCTTCTCCCTCGTTGTCTGCATTTTTATAATTTGTGATTTATTTCTATCACAGATTTTAGTGGACAAAAATCAAACACGTGTTAGTGCCTTTGCACCAAGTTTTTGAACAAAAGTTGTCAATTTAAATCAAGTTTCCAGAAAATCATGTACTCTTCCTCCATCTGCAATGATTTCTCTTCTGTTCTAATAACATCGAGGAATAATAGTCACAGAGAGAAAGCTTTGATTAATGGCAATATGTCATTGATCTTATGACATATCAATGCGAACACAATGTGCGTTCGTTCATTCCGGAGAACATTCCAGTTTTTGCTGATGACTAGAATGATGTGACATAGACATAGCATTCGCATTCGCTCATTCGATCTCGTTGCCAATCGTTTTCATTCTTTTGCTGAACTTTGCAAACATGAAGTTTTCAATTTAGGGTCATTAGCTTAGATTTTGCTTGTGTCAGCACTTCTATAATAACCGAAGTTCATGTTTTTTTGATGTCTAGAAAATTTATGAATGACTGGACTCCAAAGTTTGTAGGAAGATGGTAATCAAAAAAGTAAGTCATCGAAAAACGTGTAAAATTGAATTATTTGTGGCTTAGCATGCTTATTGCACAATACGCGCGCTATTTAACGACTTCTGCGATGACAATCGGTTACAAGGATTTCTCCTTCTTTTCTTCTTCTGATGAATATCGTATCACACATCTCAGCAAATTTTGAAAAGGACCTTATTTAGTGGTGGCACGATCCATAGTTTTCGCATCGCTGCTTAGGGAACCGAATAACCCGAACTTATTTGGCACGGTAGAATGTAGATTACTTGCCTAATTTAACGCGCCTGGATTACGGTAGAAGTAACCATGCAACTGTTCAACTACATATGTATCGTCATTTTGTGGTTTGATTGCTATCGAAGCGATTGTTCATATATCAAGCGGTCCTTTTTGCACCCTACAAGTAACACTTATAAAGGGACTAGCTTTTTTAGATTACTTAGGCGCTTGAAAACGAACATTTCTGTAGTTTTTAGCAAAAGTGTTGTTGAGAATTGGCACGCTTTTTTACCACAAATTTCCACAAAAATGTTACTTTCTCTTTATACAATCGTCATTTGCGAAACGAAAATGCAGGTTTTTAGCCTGATTTGTACTCATTGTTGCCTACCTTCAAGCCTGCCTTTTGTTCTTTTCTATAATATTGATATAGCCGTTCTAATTGCTTTTTATCGTATTTTTCATTTTTTCGCTAATTTTCTCGCTATTTCAGTGATGGACGACGAGCCGACGTCGTCGTCACGTCGTGGCGTGAAGACATCCGCGTCACGACGGATGTGCGGCTCGACGGATTCTTCAACGGCGAGCGACAGCGACACCGCTGACGATGCACCGTTGCTGCACGGCAGTGGTGGTGGTGGTGGAGGCGGCGGCGTCGGTGGTGGTGGTGGTGGCGTCAGTGGAGACGATGGCACCATGAGCCAGACGGTCCGAATCGAAATGCCACCCGGCGAGAAACCCGCCTCGCCACATGACCGTTTCCCGAAAGATCGCACGAAAGCCGTGGTGAGTTTTGGGATGCTGTAAAATGCTTAAAGTTCCATGGGAAAATTATTTTTCAAAAATGTGCGGTAAATTTTAATTGTACCCTTTTTACGCTCATTTTCCTTGTTATCTTGATATATCCTTATTGAACTCAATATGATATCTGTTACCATTTTCCCATCTCTAACCATTTTTGCTCGGGAAGATCATGCGCATTGGGGTTTCGATGTTCCTGGACTTCTTTTAGAGCGCGGAAAAAATTTTGTTGGTACAACTAAATTTTTAAAAAGGTTATGGAATCATTTCTAGTGCCAACTAAGAGAGATAGTACACATTTTTAGGGTAAACCTAAAAGCATTTTTCGAAGTCTTTTCTTGAAGGAATGTTACAATAAATCCATACGTTGCACTTTACTTGCTCCTGTTCGTTATAAGAGTGTCGTTCAAGGAAAAGTTGAAATTCTAGGTTCAAAGGATCACTTTAGTACCATTTTGACAAACCCTAACTAGAGCTTCGTATCACTTGTTGTTCTGAAGCGATATCGACCTTTCTTTCACAATTTCCGATAATGATAGCGTTTATGTATGAATAGTTAATCGCTTTAGTGCCAAAATTCTTTTGCCACACGCCATTCTCAAAAGTGAAATTGTGGAATTATGATTCTCGTGCTCGTAAATCGCTAAAGGTCGACAATAGAGTACGACACTAAGCAGATTGCTCTTGCCTCTTTGACGCGATTTGGGACCAGTGAACATTTTTACTCTCACTTTCGAGGTAAACACTACGAATAAAAGTAGGTGGAGGAATTTTAGGTCATATAGGGTCGATTTAAAGTTGCATCAAATAATCACCCTTGTAAACTTGAGGTTTCTATATGACAGATTGGAAAAGAAGCTTATTTTCACTTTTGGAGCTTTGACTAGATGCAATTATTTGTTTTGTGTATGACGGAAACAAGGTAGTTAGCGTGTCGTGCATGTTGACATTTTTAGTTCCTAGTAAGGCGCTGAAGTAGTCATAGACATGTGATAATGAATTATTTAGTAGCTCTAAGAAGTTATGCAAAGCTCTAGCGGATATCGCTGGTAGCAGAAAGTTTAGCCTGGAAGTGATGGGAAAGAATAGAAACAATTCATTTTGATTTGAAAAAGGATTTAGGTATCGAATCTATTTTTTCTCATGTACATTATCGTTGTCTCTGATTCGCCTAATCATCCAAAAACTTCATTTCCTTACTAGCAGTTTTCTATCAAAATTTCAACAAACTGCTTACTCCATGGAATTTGACGCTAAACTCACCTTATATAGTTTATCACAGCACAATATCACAGATTTTCTGACACCAAAAAAACTTTATTGCTACACAAAAAATGCCCGACTTTTCGTGGCCCAGTAAAGCAGTAGGGAGTGCAAAAAAACTCAATAAAAATCAGAAAATTGGTTTAGCGGACAATAAGTTATGCAAACGACATGTTTTCCCTGTAACCATTTTGATTTTTTTCCAAAGGGTTTCAGTTTTTCGAATGTCTTCGTGAACTCTGTGCGAACCATCTCCCCTTGTGTCTAGGTCCTCCAATTGGAAAATTCTAGAATGGGCATAGGCAAATGATTGCTTTAGAAGGTTCTGAGGTTAATTAGTGGAATGGACACAGGGATAATAGAGAAATTATTCTGAAATAAAGGAAAATTTAAAAAAGAGATAGGACAAAGCCGAAGTTTCAAAGCTAATACATTTAGTGAAAAATATATCGTAACGTCCCAGAGTATTTGAATTTAAACCCTACATTCTGGAATTCTATTTGCAGTTGATAAATTTTTTTAACAGTTGATCACTTTTATATCTTTACTTAAGCATTTTATTTCAGCTTTCCTTTCTCCTACTGGCATTTGCTGCTGTCCTAAATGAGGTGGTGTTATCGTTCGTCCATGAGCGGGTACCTGAAACACCACCATTGCCAGACATTACATTCTCCCTAGTACCATACTATCAAGAAGGTCTAAAAATCTGTGAATACATTATGTTAGCATCATTCAGCTCCGTATTACTACTAATGCTATTCCATCGGTGAGTTTCTCTTTTTTTTTCGTTTTTTGTGCATCCTATATCCTCTGATTCCGATCGATATATCGATTTTTCCATTATAGTCATCGTTGGATAATGTTTCGACGATTGATGATGGTTGGTTCATTGCTGTACTTGATGCGATGTGTCACTATGATCGTCACACAAGTTCCTGTAGCCGATCCAAATTTTTTGTGTTCACCAAAATTTGTGAGTTTTCCGATATTTGGAGCGGTTGAAAATATGAGGAAAAGTTTGATAACACCCCTGCTAGGAGTACTTGTAAAACATAAAATGCGCAGTCACACGATCGAGCTGATTATTGATTTTGCCCAGAATTCGCGTATCGCGCCGCTTGCGCACGCATCCACTAATTTTTTCTTCTCATTAATGAGGAGTGGAGCCGAATTACGCTTTATATACTTTTTCTTAGTATAACATAAAGAAAATCCCTATACCAATCCTTGCAAATTAGTTTTTTTGTGTCGTAAAATGTTGCTAAAGGCCAGTCCCAGACGAAGGTGACTACCTAGCAAGCGTGGCGTGCGCGGGCGTACGAGCTCCGACAATGGAAGATGCTCGAACGCTGCGCTCGCAACCGTTTCGTAAAATAAACCAAACACCTTCGTCAGGGGTCAGCCTTTACTAGTGTAAAATTTCAAAGGGGATATCCAAATAGTGTAGAAATTCATGATCTTATAATTTCAGGGCGAGAACGGTACCTTTTGGGATATCGTCCTACGTGGTCTAAAAAGTGTTGCAGGCGTAGGACTAAATGTCCAAGGCAAGGACACGCTTTGTGGAGACTACATTTACAGTGGTCACACTATTGTACTTGTTGTTAGTGCATTATTTATGGGCGAGTGTGAGTGTTTATCTTTTTGTAAATTCATTTTTCATTTTCTTCAAGTATTTTATTGTTTTTCCAGACTCCCCAAGACGATGGCGTATTCTGCATGCATTTTATTGGTTGGTAGCGTTAGTGGGTGTCATATTTCTGGTGATCTCACGCGGTCATTATACATTAGATGTTATATTGTCGTATTTTATATGTACCAGAGTATTTTGGGGCTACCATACGATGGCTGCACATCCCACAATACGAGTAAGTTCAGGTCGGCCGCGAGTCGCGGCAAAGTTGGGCGCGAGTCGCGCTGCAGAATTCGTGAAATACATGTTTTTCCAGCTATCAACCCAGAACCACCACCGAAAAGAGTTCTGGTTCCCACTATTCCGATATATGGAAGGCAGTGTATACAAACCAGTACCACGACGATTCGATTGTCCATTGCCAATAAGTCGGTTACGATCGGCATTTCGTCGTCGTGTCGCTAACGCACGCATCGAATAGTAACGCAGTGACAACGCAATCGAACTATAAACACCATCATCATCAACAACAGAATCGAATGCGTTGTCGCCATTGCCAATGGTCGAACATTCCCCGACACTTCGCTTCTCTCTTCAGGACTATCTATAGATTTCTAATATACATCATTTGCCATAAACTATAACGAGCTATAAACCGGTGTTAGAGAACAGCATGGCGAGCAGTTTTTCTCTTTCAGTTTATTCTAGAAAAGCCGAGCTGTTTCTCCAGTGGAACTCCTCGATGATTCTCTCTTTATGAGTTGCTTAACAAATGTCATAGACTACTTTGTATACGCTCAATTTCATTCTAGTTTTTATATTGTGCCGTAGGTCATAGTAGCAACAAGCTTAGCTAAATTAGTGTTTAGTAAACGTCTCAAAATAGCTCACTTTATGTGCTGATGGCAAGAATTTAAGGTCTTTAGTGGCGCTGGAGATGCGCGCGCAACCGCATCGCCGCAGAGCAGCGCGAGTGCCTTCTCTGCGTCGGTTGAGTCAAGCATAAATCGTAACTTTATGACCGCTACCGCACACTATGTGAGCTACGATCTTTGCCATTGTCATCTGGACGAGTCTCACCCTTCCAGAATACAACAGCAAAAAACATTTGATATCAACATTTGACTTCCTCATGTCATTCTACGGGCTTCTTGTTCTTTGATTATCCATCTAATGTGTTATTATGAATTTGGACGCATATGCGTGATAATACCAATTGTGTACAGTTGTTTTCACTTAAATATTGGTAATGAAATCATTTTTTTGAAGGACCGCATTCTATGGATCGACTGAAATGTTTTCTGATTGGCTTCTCTAATTAACACACTGCACATTCAAATTTCTAGTGATGTATTTACCAAATTTCATTTCCATCAGTTGATGTGTTTCTGTATGTTTGTATATGTAAGCGATCCATATGGAAGATTATTAATTTTACGGCTAAAATCATGAGTGCTGTCTTGCGTTTTTTTGAAAGTGGGAAATTTCTCATTGCCTTACTTGTATTCTTGTCACACGTTTCAGTCGTTGCTTATGTCGTTCTTGCCGTAAACACAATCACTGGTTAGCTATAAAAATTGAGCCATTATATTTCGTATACAGAGAAAGTTGTTTGATGCTTTGAGAAACGATCTGCAAAAAAAATCAGTATACACAACTATGACAATATGACGAACTCGAACGTTTCTTTGATGAATATTCATGTCTGGTTTACTTGATTTGAAGTAAGGAATCCCCCTGCTCAGCATGTATGAAAGCGTAGCACGGAAGGATTGCTCAAAAAAATTTCAGTGTTATTACGCAAACTAGACAAGGGTAATTCATCGACCGCAAATACTAGCCGTGTTTGCGGCCGCCGCGACGCCCGGCCAGAACCTTGTAAGAGCACGACTTATATACAATGATTCCTAGAAAAGCATTTCCCGCGCACCGTACACCGAGGGTCAGTCCCTGCGGTAGACGAATATCCAAAGAGTCGAGTAGATTTTCCGCATAATATAATGTGCTTGCACTGCGGGTGAAATGCTGTAAAATTGCGCGTAAACAATTAGCCACGCCAATGATGCCGGCATTTTGCGCACGCAATGTCGGCGTCATGGGCGCAGCTATTTATTCACGCGCAAATTTTACCGCATTTCACATGTGGTGCAAGCAACTATCTTATGCAGAGAATCCATTCGATTACAGTTAAATGCTTGTAAAGCCAGTAGATAGATGGACCGTGTTTCCAAGTTCTTTATCAAATAGAATGGGCTGTAGTTGAAGTACATACATTATGGCACGAATAAAGACAATCATAAGTTGCAATTATTCACAGGTATAAAAATACTTATTTTTCTGTAAGCTAAATACTCGAAGTTGCAAAATGATCCATAGCAAGTTCGTACAGCTTGGCACACCGCTTTATGCTTCCCACGGAAGGGAGAGTCGAACACAAATGTTTTAACCGAACAAAGGCAGTGTGCACTGCATGCTTATAGCTAGGAGGCAGAAATTTTCTCTACAATACATTTTTGTTCGTAAGGAGAAAATAAAACATTGGGCACCGCAACAAAGTGAATACAGTTGCTTTGCAACGAAAATAGATAGATCAAAAAACCTAGTTCTTTGAATTAAAAAAATGCTGTTACAAAGAAACGGATAATTGTAAAATCAGACTAACTCGAAGTACTTTTCATGTAGCTCTGTAGTTGTTCGCGGTCTTCTGCAAGTTCTCTGAGGTGCGACAGTTTTGCGTCGTGGTCAGTGATGCGTCCTTTACGAGCTTGAATATCCGACAAAGTCAAATTCTTCTCCTTCAGCAGAGCTTGCAGCTCATCTCGCTTTTTCACAAGTTCTTGTTTCTGTAAATAAAAAAAGAAAAGTCTAAAGATAGCAACAGCAACAAAATAGAGCTAAAGTAACATACCTCCTGAAGGAGTTCCTTAGCGCGTTGAAGCTTCGCTGGATCAATTTGTGCTACAAAAAATGACAATTGTCTAAATCTAACTTGGAACAATCTAAAAATTGAACAGAAGCGGCGAAGATTAGAATTACCCGAGAGTGCTCTAATTCGGTCTAATTGCTCTTGACGCTTTGCAAGTAAGTCTTCAACCAATTGTTCTTCCTTCAGTGCACTTGAAAGAGCATCTCGATGAAGATCACCTAAAAGGCAAAGCACATAAAAAGGAAAAAAGAATGACCGTATGCAGTTTGAAGAGGCGAATAGCAAGCATTATAGTCATATTCTGTCAAACAACTCCACTCAATTGTGTAACTGCATATGTTAGCGAGTCGAAGACAGTATGTAACGGTTTTACATTTGTTTTCTTTTTCTTTGCACATCACAATCCTCAAATTTCAGGCAGAACATGACAGCTCCACAATTTGTCAAATTTTTGCGACTCCCGGCCCTTACTCATCTTCGAAGTTGATTACAACGTGCTTGAATCAACGCACTTATTCCGTATAAGGCAGGCGTACTGCATGTATAACAAAACATTATAACAGAATATGTTTAAAAAATTAATTATTTGATAGCGATTTAGGAGTCATTACTGATGTTGTATGCAATTGAAAGTCCCGAATCTAATAAAATGACAGCAGAGCAAAGAACTGCAAAGTTCTATTGTAGGCTTTGACCATACACGAGTTACCGTTGTTACCAGTGTTAGTCGTGTTACATCGTTCTAACTCAAATAGCAACCGAGTACGGAACTTCAAAAAATCCTTCCCATTTTGACTAGTAAACAAAATCGATTTTAATCGCCTCAACCAAGTAAACTTCGAACTTCAAACAGCATCGACCATCAGTGCAATAAAAATACTCGTCAACCGGTGATGGCGTCCAAGAAATGAGACCGTATTAGTGATTATTTCACCACTCACCGTCAATAAAAGCGGTAACACTAGTAAAACGAGCCACAAGTAACACCGGTGGCACGGGTAACACTTGTAATGTATGGTCAATCCCTTCACTTATGTCTAACAAGTAATGCTACCAGCAAAAATTTCTTCTATATGTGAAAATTTGTACAAAACTAACGGCAATAATCGTTAAAGGCAGTGTACACCCAAAACAAATGCAACAGATGTTGCAACAGCAACTGCAACTGCAATTGCAGCTTACGCTGTTATGGATTCGTCCGGAGAAGGCGGAGTGAAAGAAAAGGGGCGGCGTGAAAGAAAATTGAGGGGGGTTTTCTCCGCTCAGAAGCAACATTGGGAGACCGGACCAACGCAGTTGGTCTTCTTCTGGGCCCAGTATATACACGGTGTAGAAAGATCTAGGAAATTCGGTAACTCAAATTTTGGGTGTACGCTGCCCTTAACGTGTTTTTGCATGAGCTTCTTGTGAGCCATTCTGGAGTTAACACTACCATATTGAAGGAAACAAAGGCCTTATCATAAATAGTGTAGTGCAATAAGTAACGCTATGGCATTTGTGCTGAACAAAAATAAATCTCAAGACCTAACGATCTTAAGACCTAACGGGAATCATGGAAAAAAATCTAGGACGACTGGGTGCTTGCAGTTCCGAGTTATGAAAAAAAAACAGTATGAGCTAACACATTTGGAATCACAAAAAAAAAACGGATTGAGTAAGAAGCTAAACACTCACTGTAATGATCACTTGGCCCTACGGCATTTTCCTCTCTTACCAGAAGTTCTTTTGAAGCAATGACTTGAGCCCGAAGGCGTAAAGCAGCACTGATCATATCGGCATCCATAAGTACCTAAAATGACTTTTAGGAATAAGAAAGTTTGTGACGAAAAAAATTTGCTTTTCAGAAAGCAGAAGTTCGCGCCTGCGAAAGCGCGCGAATCTGCGGTAGAGCGCGCTCATGACAGCCAGCGCGCAGTGTGGGGGGGGGTCTTATCCGCGGTTGTGTGCCACACCTCTTGTTCGACCCTGGTCACTGGTAACAATATCGAATTGAAGTCCGGCGATCCGGCGACTTAACCGCTTAACCAGTATGTGAATCTGAACAATGCGCGCGGCCGGTGACACCTTACTTGTAATTGCCAGTGAAAGTTTTCCAGCTAAACAGACCGTGGGACGTACTACATATCGTCCCCTCCACAGCTCGTGCTACCTTTGGCCTGCATCCCTGACCTGCCACGTGTGGCTAATATGTTGGCAACGTGCAGCATGCCACAACATGTTGGCAGAACATTTTGGCTATGCCAACATGTTGCTGCATGTTGCCAACGTGTTGCTGCCAACGTTGCCAACGTGTTAGCCACACGTGGCATGACCGCGACGCCAGAAGGGTAGCAGCAAATGTGGAAGGGACAATACGGGAGACGGTCGAATGGCGCGTATTGATCGATTGTTACTAACTGGGAGAAACAATAAATAAGTTCAGATTTAATTTGCTATTTTCGGATTCTGAGTAATTATCCTTAGTTACACTCAGGGCCCGGCGGGGGTGGCGCTTTCACAAGCTGGATATCGTTTTTGGCCCGAAAAATTCTTTATTCATCATTCCTTGTTGATGCAACTGTCCTATGAACTTAGATTCCAGCAATGTGAAGATTCTGTGCTCCGATCGCTAGCCTGACCGCAGGCGGGAATTCAAATCGCAATTCTTGTAAGAGGAAAATAACAAAATAGGCTCGTTTTCAATGCACAATTAACGATATGGCACCAAATTTGCTGTGTAGTTGGAGGACCATGAGCACAAAAAAAGTATGAAGAATTATGAGAAACTTATGTGAATTTAAAAAATGGTAAGTGTTTTTCGAAATTAGGTGGCTCCCGCGCCACCTGGGAGCCACCTGGGGTGGCTCCCTGCTTCCCTTCACATAATTTCCCGGATTTCTTTACATAAATGTGAACTAGGTCGAGAGTATTACTATATGTTCAAATCCGCTTCCAAAACCACCAAGGGCACCGCTTCGATACAGCCCTAAACGGGGTTCACAGCGTTATGATCAGCCTCGGAAAGCGCGCTCCAATCGCAATCAGTTATTGTAAATTGTAAAGTTTCGCAGCTGACTAATAAATGAGTAGTATCTTAGATATATAAATGTCGAAGTTTGTGCAAATCTTGACCCTATGTTTTTTATAGATTCCTTTGCGGATGAACCCATTGAGCTGAAACCTTGATGACCCGGGCTGGACCAGGAAAGCCAGGTAGTACTACTATGATAAGCGCTGAGGCCGCCCATCTTATTATTTGTGTATATTTGTTTGTTAGAGACTTACGGGGGTCAAAAATAGGGTCAAAGGGGAAGTCGTAAGAAATTTTGGCTTCAAAGGGGATATCGTTCTCAAAATTCTGAAATGCCACCTCCTGCCGGGCCCTGGTTACACTTCCTGGTGCACTGACAAGAATCTTGGAATCTGGAAACCTCGCTTATGCAGCAAACGGATCCAGTCTGGGAATGACGGCTGCCAAAACGCGCGCCATTCGACATACACCCCCCTGCTTACGTAAGGACTTAATCGACGCTACGACGACGGTACAACGACGAACAGCTATATCATCGCCCCTGACCATCCCGTTTGGGATGAGGATTTGACAAGGCGACAGAATCTCGTCGAAGCTGGTCCCCGCCTTGTAGTGAGTAATGAAGTCGAACTGGGACAAGAGAGGCATACGAGTTGATGGGAGCTCCCTGCCGACCCTTCGTTTTGCGGACAACATCGTTCTCTTCTTGAGCAGTATCACTGAAGCAGAGACAATGTTGAAGTAACTAAACGAAGTAATGAAGAAGATTGCGAGTAAATCGGAAGAAGATTAAATGGAATTGGAAGGGACCCCATTATAGACATCTTAGGGAACGGCCATAGGTTGCCGGCAACGGTTGTCGGTGTTGTCAGTGTTGCCGATGTTGTCGGTGTTATCGGTGTTGTCGGGGTTGCCGAGGTTGCCGGTCGTTTAGGACCTCATGATAGCCTCCTTTCGCGCGCTCTCTAAACTGTCTCTGCCCCTACAACCCCGACAACCCCTACAACATCGCCAACATCGACAACACCGACAACCGTTGCCGACAACCAATGGCCGTTCCCTTACGTGTATCTCGGACGTTCGACATGGAGAACGACGACTTGAGGGAAGAATGTAACAGGAGAGGAAGGGCCTGGGCCGCCTTCGGGCCTCCTCTGAAGGAAGCCACCACCAACTGGCGGACCCCCGGAGTTTCGTACCCAACCGTTCATCTCAACCGTTCTCCCGGCGCTTTGTTACGCAGCCAAGACTTGGGCTGACACTGTAGCTATGTCGAAAGCTCTACGGACCACTTAAGCGCTTGAGCGCAGTCTTCTGACGATGGCCTTACACAAACAACACGTCGTACTTTGCAGTACGTATATGGAAAGAATGTCCCGTCTTTGTGACCCACTCAGATAATCGCCGGGGGCAGGCGGCCCGCAAGCTCGCGCTTTTCTGCAAGGGTCAGCAGAATTTTGGGGCGTGGCCAAACCTTCAGCGGCTGGCACTTCCTTTACGGTCGCATATTCTGTCAGAGGGCAGCAATATAGCATTTTCTGCAAGCGCTCGGCAAATAATTTCTTTCAGTGAGCGCTGGCCAAACTTTCAGCAAGCGCTTGGGCTCTTCTTACGCCGATTATCTGAACAGCGGAATACGTTGCGAAAACGAAGCACCGATGGGCCGATCACATCATGAGAAGAATCAACAACAAATGGGCACTAAGAACGTCGGAGTGGATTCCTCGTGAAGCAAAACGTATTTGAGGGAGACCTCCAACGAGATGGGCAGCCGTGTTCATGGAACGGATTTACCGAGTGAAAAATGAACTGCATACGATATTCGCCCTTGGAACTCATGGACGGCCACCGACGATAACCAAGAAGTTTGTAAATGCCTGAAGCAGAAACAGGAATCACTGGGAACTCCTGTGCTAGAGCCCACAAGTCATGCGAAGGTGGGCAGTCTATATCTAATAAGGAAAGGTACCTAACTTAGCTCGGCCTTTTGGTAAATGGCATACATATTCTGAATCAGCTTCAAATGCTGATTCCAAATATGCTATTCCTAGCTGCCACGCACCATTCCGAAGCGAGTTATCGGCTTTTTCCTGCGCGAAATTGGCATAATACTGAACATGAGAAGACTGCCTGTAGATAAAAATCTGCAAGAAAAAGGTGCTGAGGTACGAAGTAGTACAAATTCAATCTTTTCTCACTATTAAAAGCTTAACGCAGGTGCATCAGCACTCAAATGATATGACGTGGTACCCTTGGAGCGATGAGCATGTCATTTTTGCGCAGGAAAAAGCACATAACTCGCTTCGGAATGGTGCGTGGCAGCTAGAAAAAGCATATTTGGAATCAGCGTTTGAAGCTGATTCAGACTATATGTGTCCCTTGCCAAAAGGCCGAGCTAAGTTAGGTAGCTTCCCTTGTAAGTAAAATTAGAAAAGCTCGAACAATAAGTCATTATTTAACTGATTGTTTCACGATCAAAGCCGTATGAGATCTATGTGGGATTCGATGGAAATGGCAATGTACTCAAATTCACTTTCATCCTGAGGTACGCAAAGAAGCTTAATTACTACAAGCGCTTTTGGTGCGATAGTTCTATCCCAAACAGAAAAATTGATGCAGTCACATCAAAGAACATGTCATAAACTATCATGCGGTGGGTATTTAGAAGAATTGCCTTGTTTACAAGCCTAGTCTCTCTTTCATTCGCGAAACAGCGGCATGTCCGGTTTGCCTATATGTTCATCATCGTATAGTTATTGACACTCGATAAGATAGACGAATTCACATTTTGAGCAGTCATTTATTTTTCCAAAATACATATTGCGCAAGTATACTGTCGACTGACTGCTCGGTGCAAACTTCTCCTGACAGCTTTGCTGAAATTTAGTTACGAAAGGTATGTGAAAAGGATTTTGTAAAACGTCTATGGGCGACGTGTATCGATAGAGAGTGTAGTTAATCTTGATCATCCGTTAGATAGCGCAATATCTCCGGAGGTCTTCAGAGGTGCTATTGGTTCTTGGGTGTCAAGGAGATTTTTTGCCTTATTATTTAGCTGTTCTAAAATATCGTTCAAAATAACTTTTTTCAAAATTCGTGGATGCGCAGCGATGCACAATATTTTCACTGTGACACTTCTGATATCATGTTAATCTTTATGTTTCTCCCGGGGAAAATTATGCGAAAAAGCCAGATTTCGACTAGGCTTTTCCGTGCAAATTCTATATATGGCGGTTGCGTATTCAGGAGTTTCTAAGCTGTTGGAAATAGTTGGAAGAAGTCATGAGAGCGGAATGATTCAGAAGCAGACCTTTAATGCGGAATAGCTTACCATGTATTTCTGGAGAACTTCCACACCTAATTTAGTGCTACAGTGGACAAAATTGGCACCTCCTTTAATCGTAGCGAACCACAAATTCTTTGATTTGATAAAGCTTCCAATTCACAGCACATGACCACGCATTGTGTGGCAAAAGCCATTCTTGAAACTCAGTAGTAGGAGGAGCAACATACAGCAGGAAATGGTAACACATATTGCAAGAGGAGGAGATACGGAATTGCTTTTGCACGTGTCTTTTTTCTGAACTTAACAGCAGGGGTGAGAGCAGGAGATGCTTCTTCGAGTGTCCTTTCTGTAAAGTCAGCAACAGCAATATTTAAAGTAGCAAGCATAGAAACAACTTTGAGTCAACAATTGAGACAAGAGTAAGCACGGGGAAAAGCTCTAGAAACTAGTAGGAAGAGAAACAGGGAGTAGGATTCTTGCTTATAACATGATTAGAAAGTTTTGCCTTTTTGTGTAGGCGATGT